CATGTCCTACTCCAGAGTAAAATATGTTTTCTTAATGTTACTCCTACTTCTGTAAAAACCTCTTACTCCTTTATTCCTTACTCCTACTCCCCAGCCTTGATTAATTTTGGGGTTACTCCCCAGCCCTGATTAATACAGAGCTGGGGAGTAGTGGTGATTTGGGGTTTACTCCTTGTCCTACTCTGGATTAAGATATTTTTCTTAATGTTACTCCTACCCCTGTAAAAACCTCTTACTCCTTTACTCCTGCTCCCCAGCCCTGCCTTCTTTCTACACACTTCTTCCACGTGTTTGATCTCTTTTGCAAGAGAACCCTGGGTGCAAAAGTAAAACAGGAGCAGCAAAGCAAGCAATGGATCCTGCAAAGGTCTGTCTCTCCTCCTATCCTAGGTCTGGGGTCTTACCAAGAGGGGCGAGCTGGCCTTCCTGGGGATCCCCTCGATAGCTCCACCGAGCCTCTGCAGCCATGGCCAGAGATGAATGCCTCCTCCTCTTCAAGGCTTGCAACTCTCTCTCTTGGTTCCTGCTTTTAGGGCCCAGGAAGAGGAGGAGTTTTGTTCCAGAGCAAGCCTCTTCCCTCTGATGAACTCAATGCAGCCTCTCTCGCCCTCTGCAGACAGGAAAAAGGCAGTGAGTTAAGGATTTAAAGCAGTGGTTCCCAAACTTTGGTCCTCCAGATTTTTTTGGACTTTAACTCCCAGAATTCCTGACTGTTGGCCAAGCTGGCTGGAGCTTCTGGGAGCTGAAGTCCAAAAGACCTGGAAGACCAAAGTTTGGGAATTACTGATTTAAAGTTAAGGATTTTTTGTATCAAACATTGATCAGCATGGAGAATGCAGTCAAGAGATCAGAGGACTAGGAATGGGAAGGGAAGCCAGGAAAGAACTAGGCAAGATCCTAAAATGTAAAGATATACGACTAAAGTTAGAATTGTCCAAGGCATGGTATATTCCCCATCACTATGCAGTTGTGAAAGAACTAGACAAGATCCTAAAATAGAAAGATATACGACTAAAGTTAGAATTGTCCAAGCAAGGCATGCATGGTATATTCCCCATCACTATGCAGTTGTGAAAGAATTGGGCACAGGGTGACCAGATGTCAAAACTTCAAAGGAGAGTACAAGGGACTGCAAAAATAGGACTTTCAAGTAAAATGGAGGAAATTACAAAATAAAAACTAAAAACACTAATAGAAATATAAATTAAAGTTGCTTATTCATGCTGAAAATAGAGGATATTTTGGAATTCCTGCTGGACAGAAGGATCAAATGGAGAACATGTCCTGGGAAAGGAGGATATCTGGTCACCCTGGAGCAGATGTCCTAACCACAAAGGAGGACAATGTGCTACAAAATGTAGGCCATTCAGGGAAAATGCAGGGCATTACAAAATAAAACAATAATATAAATATAAAGTCATTTTATATGGTTTATTTACAGCTGTATGACACACAGTATTTTTTTATGTACTCAACCATATTTTCCTGATGAACTTACCTTCGTTAAAGTGCCTTTGTTGGCTTAAAATCTACTCAAGGATGGGTGGGATTCGGGATTTTATATTCTGTTTAATATGTCTGTATGGAAATTTTAATGTTGGAAGCCGCCCCGATTGCTCTGCAGAGGGGTGGGATATAAATTATTATTATTATTATTATTATTATTATTATTATTGTTGTTAGTCGTAGAACACTGAGCTCGACATATGCTTAAAATATACTTTGTTAGTAACAAACCCTTGACTGAATCTATATTTAAATAATTTCTTTCATTTGTCCATTGTGCTGAAATTAAGGGAAAAGAACTTTCAACATTTGCATCGTGTCTTCAAGCAGCCCATTGCTCAATACGTTGGCTGTCTTTTTCCCCTCTGAGAAATAAATGTGCCCCAAGCTCTGAGTGCAAGTCGGCGCACAAACTTTTTGAAGCCAAATCAATGGCACAACTGCTTTATGGATCCCAAATTCCTACGATCAGCTTTCCAAGCTCCAAAATGTGTCTCTAATGCAACTTGAGACTGGAGGTCAGGCTTTATGAGAATGGACACCAGAGTGTGGGTGACCATACTCAGCTACTGGCTCAGACTATCCTTCTTTCCCATCAGGCTTGCTCCACTAACCCTGATTGATGATTTCCAGTTTACATGGTGATGACTAAGGTCCAAAACACACTGCAAAAATAATCCAGTTTGAGACGCTTTAACTGCTTTGGCTCAGGGCTAGGGAATCCTGGGGATTGTAGTTTATTGTGACACCAGAATTCTCTGACAGAGAAGGCTCAATGTCTCACAAAACTACAGTTTCTAGTATTCCCTAGCATTGAGCCAGGGCGGTTAAAGTGGTCTCAAACTGGATTATTTCTGCAGTGTGTTTTGGACCTAAAATTTCATCACTGGGCTTCTCTCCGGGTCTTCTGCTCAGCATGGGATATGATAAGGCTAAAGCAATTATCAAACAATGGGTGCTAGATATAGAGCGACAACTGGATCTAGCTAGCACTCCAGTCTTTATTGCTAGTGACTCCGATAGATATTTGGCATCATCTATGGCAGGGGTAGGCAACCTAAGGCCCAGGGGCTGGATGCGGCCCCCTGAGGCCTTT